TAAGATTCTTTGTGAATCTTTTAGCACTTTAGCTAACAAATAATAGTATTAGAAGATTATTTTACACTTTGCTTATTTCTTCACACTTTTTTACATAATGCAGTCACTACTTACTATTCTAGTAAAGATTTTTATCTATAAAGATTACTAAAGATAACAATATAAAAACTTTAAGTTTAATATAATTACAATATAAATAATAATTTTTTTTGTATTTAAATAAAAAATAATTATTTTTTTAATTTTGTAATAAATTAATTAAAATTATAAAAATATTGCTAAAATATATTTAAAATTTAAGTAACAAAAAATATTATAAGAAATTAAATATAATTTACATGAATATTTAATTATTTAATACTTATATTTATATAATTGAATAATAATAATTTTAACTTTGTAATTTTATTATTTTTAAAAAGCAAATACAGTCAAAATCCTTTATAATAACTATATAAAATTAATATTTTTGATCAATATATAGAGTTTATATTATAAATTTTACTATATAGAAAGTTATAAATAAATAAAAATTATAAAAATCAAGATATTAATATAGTATAAGTTGAATTTGATATATATAGTATTATTATAAAGAATTTTTACTGTACTTATATTTAAAAAAAATAATAATATAATTAAACAAATATTTAATTTATTTATTTAACAAGTATTTTATATATTTATTCCTTTTTAAATAATAATTTGCAAAAATATTCTTTTTAATTTTTATAATATGATTATATTACTAATATATTAGAATTAAAAAATAAAATTTTAGAAAAATAAATTATTATTTAATAAAAAACAAAATACTTTTAAGTATTCAAATTTATTTACTTTTATACAACTAATAAAAGCATAATAATAAAAATAAAATATATTTCAAAAATTTGAGCTATTAACTAAAAAGTAAAGTAAATTTAATTTATTAAATTTAAATATACTTTTTATAAATTATTTAAAATTAATTATAAAGAATATAATATAATTAATTATTAATATAAATATAATAAAATAAATTTTAATTTATATAATGGTTAAATATATAAAAGTTATTTTTATTTTTAACTAAAAAAATTATTATAATAATAAATAATATTAACTATTTTAGTATAATAAACTAAAAGTAACAATTTAATTTTTTTAATCAAAATTATTTTAATAAAAATTCTATAATTTTTTGAATATTAAATTATAATTAATAAAATTATTCAAGAAAAATAAAAATATTGTTTATTAGAATATTATTAAAGAAAAATCTATAATTATTATAACAAACTTAACAAATCTAATATATTATAATTTATAATTTTATTATTAAATTTAAAAAATATATCAATACAAAGAAATTGATTCTTAAAAATATTATTTTTGGTTAATAATTAATATAATTTGTATATCTTCAAAAATTCATAATTTAATTACTAAATTTAATTTGTTAATAATATCTAAATTATTTATAAAGTATATATAATATATAATAACAATCAAATTAATATAATAATATCAAAATTTATTAATTAAATATAATAAAATTCAGATTTTTTTATATAAAGTTTTAATTTTATTAATAGCTATTTTTTATTTTTATATTAAAATAAAGATAATATTATATATATTAATATATATTTTGTTCAAATTTTTAGATTTGATTTAATAAAATTATTTTAATTGTATATGAAATTAATTATTTTTTATATATTTAATTATAAAAAAATAGTTGATTTCATATATAATTAGAATAATTTTATTAAATTAAATCTGAAAAAATATATATTAAAATATATAATATTATTTTTATTTTAGTATAAAAATAAAAATATTATTAATAAATTAAAAATTTTTATATAAAGAGAAATATCTGTATTTTATTAATAATTTTGATATTATTGTATTATTTTTGATTACTATTATATATAAATTTAATAAACTTTAAAAATGCAATATTTAAAAAGTTAAATATAATTAAAGAATTATTATTAGAAAAGTATTTATATATTTACTCAATTTTATTTTTATAATAAATATAATTTTTAAATAAAAATAATTTATTAAATTTCATAGATCTATTAATTAAATAAGATAATGACTTTTTATCAAATAATTGTTCTTATAAAATATTAAATTAAATATTAATATAATTTGGTAAACTAAAAAAAGTGTTTATAAATTATTTAAAAAAGAATTAGTTAATAATAGATTTTGTAAATTACTTTATATTGGAGTTAAAATATATTAAATGAATTTATCAAATAAATGAAACTTGAATTTACTTACTATTATATTAATAGATAGAAAAAATGGATCAGAATTTGCTTATATATTTCTGAATATATTTTTTGATCAATATTCAAAAATATCAATTTTACAAGAAATTTCTTATATTAAATTCTTAAAAAATGACTTATTCAAAAATATATTTAGATTATTGAAAGAATTACAAGATTTTTTGAAGAGTTTGAGACTTTTGCAAATTCTAATATAGCAGTTCCAGTTAAGTTTTCTCTTGTATATGAATTTCTTCAAGTTATTGTTGATTTACTACACTACTTTAAGGCTTATTTAATTGTTATAATATCAAAAATTATTCAAATATAAATACTTAACTGCAAGAATCACACATTTAACTTGTTGATTTAGATGGTGTAATTCAAGAAATTTCTCAGGATAAATTGTGAAGTATTCGACAAACACCAAAAATTCAAAAAATAATATTGAAATTTTTGAAAGAGAAAAAGTAGATGAAATTCTTGATAGTTTTTAGTTTGGCTACGACAGAAAATTATAACAATAATAACAATAACATTAATAATAATAATAATAATAATAATAATAACTTTCATAATTTACATATTAATATTTATATCAGAAAATTTCTATATTCTAATAAATATAACGTTGAAGTTATACATGTATATTGATATGATAATACGTAATAACTCATAAAAATCTTACGTAATTACGTAGTGATCACTATATGTACATGTATTATGTTCTGAACAATAAGTTACATGTTCGTATTTCATAACAAAAAACTTTCTCTTTAGAAGAATAGAAATTTCAAACAAATTGATTCTTCTTATTAATGAAAAAAGTTTATCTAGTATTATTGTTTCCAATGATAAAGGTCATTTTTCGTCCTAAATGGAAAATTGAACGTTTATTTAACTTACAAAAAAGCTATTCTTGTATTCATAAAAAATAATTATTACATAAGTACGGAACGGGGTCATGGCATAAACTGTACTGTAAGTATTATGTTACATAATCTTTTAAGATAACGAAATAGTACTGTACGGGATATACATGTAGTATCGTACGCACAGAACTGATTAGATATTGACCTTTGTTCTGCATTTTAGATAATCCTCTGTAAACAATTTTTTATTGAATATTACATGTAACTGACATGCTAGGAGAAATTTTTATTTTTCTCTCCAACAAATTAAATATCTGGCTAAAGTCATCTCAAAATTTCTTCTTATGATCCAAAATAGTCTGCGCTCAATGACATGTACGTACGTTATTAGAAAAAACAAATTATGATGCCTATATCGTTTTCAAAAAAATATATGTAATAGGAAGAATTTCGAGATTGCGCGAAGGCAATTTTCTCAACTCATTAAAGTTTGTCATTGACCTTGAAAATCCTGAATTCGAATAGCAAAATTCAAACCTAGCCAACCTCGGCCTTTAAACTTAGTTTTGGAGATATAAAAACAATAGGTATTAAGATAATTTTTACATAGAACGATAGCTTAGCGTCAGTACTCCTCAAAAAGCTTTGGTGAAGTTATCTTTGATGCTTCTTCTGCCACTCGAAAGTTAAAGTGATTTTTATATTTAATTGATGATGTGCTGCACGCTAAACCAAATCGAAATAGCCAAGGTCAAAAAAACTGGATAATATACATGTACGTATCTTGTTCTACATTTTTGATTTTTCACTTGTTATTGGTGAATGCACGTTCTCCACTGTTTCAAGTGTTAATGAAAAACGATACTGGAAGTGGACTAAAAATATAGGTTTCTAGCGATTACATATGTATTGTGGTAGTTTTATAATATTTGGCTAGTATGTAATTGCTTTGAATAAACTAAAATAATTTATTATGTATAAACATATTAGTAATTTTAACCGTACTAAAAGTCCAATTTGTAGCCAAGTAGAAACGGGAAAAATCATAGCTGACAAATTGTATTGTTGTTCTAAAGATAATAAGAATTGTTCTCTTTCTTCTGAATGCGTTGGCAGCAATTATGAAGTAGCCCAATGCCATAATCTCAATAAGCTGTATGCTTGTAAACGAACTAATTTGGCTGCAATCCAAGTCTGTGGTGGTTTGCAAATAGTTTATTTTGTTTGTCTATGGATACAATAGGCAGAAGGGATCCAGACTATTACTGCTTTCCCAAAGCTGCTGAATGGATGGTAAATTGCACTACTGAGCTGAATCCAATGTCATAACGGTTTGTGATAATGGAACTAGCTCAATAGTAATCCAATCGGAACTGTTGCTAATTTGACTTGTGGTGATTTATTTCAAAGTGAACATAGATTTAATTGGCGCAATATTACTAATGGCGAATTAATCGTAAGCCTTCCCCGAAAACCCTTAGTAGAATTATGCGGAGTAGGACCGAGCACTACAGAAATAACAATCATCACCACCACCACTACCCGAACTATAAATCCCGCTCTAATCATTGGCTTAGCTAGTGGTATGGACGTTTTGGGAATAATAGCTATTACTTTCGCAGCTTCCTTTATCATTATTTACAAGAAATATCAAAGGTTAAAAATCATTTCCGTCAGTGATGTGATACTTTGTAGTTTTCAAAATAAAATTGTTTTTATTAGCCTCACTTCCTAAAACAATTATGTATAAATGCGTAGAACCCTATATATTTTTAATAGTTTTTTCTAGTCACATACGGGATCTGTTATTAATTCTGGCGTGACAAATTTTAAATTTTATAAATACTGCATTGTAATAAAGGGGTAAAACATTATGTCCATAATTTCAATTTGCCAATTTTTTTATATTGATGGGTATAAAAAAATTACCTAGAAATGTTTGTTATAATTTAGGCCATTCAAATACTTGCAATTTGAGTTTTGTCCACTATTGAAATAAAATGTAAATAGTTTCGGACCACTGCGGATGGACGAAACTCTAATAAAAACATTTTCGGAACCCATCTTTACTGCACTGACAAATGTCGCATGACTTATACTTATAAATGTTACTTAAATACTGACAAATATTACATTGATTTAGCATATTACTTTTTAATAAGTATTTGTTTCACTAGGAAGAAAGAGCATTTTGAAAAGAACTTTATTTGTATTCGTCCGCAGCTAATAAATACTCTCCGTTGGAATTGGTAACGATAGAGGTAATAAACCTGTAAGAGAGTAATAATATTCCATAGAGTATTAGCCAGCATTTTTCTTCTTCTTTAGCCTTTAATTTGTTACAATAATCTAAAAACTTATTGGTAAATACAACCTTTTTTTCCGAATTCGGATCTAACACAACCAAATCGTGATCAAACCATGCATGTTAATAAAAAATGCGAGAATGATGTGATGGTTCACCGTGGATTTGCTTTCGAAGTTTTAGTTCTTACATAATCAATTTTATTGAAACTTAGCTTTAGAGAATTGAATTCAAAATATATACAGTGCGGTACAGCATAAACTGACACCCCGAACGATATTTTAAATTATAACTAGTCATTCGATTTTATTTAAATAAAACAACTGTTCTATCCAAACTATAACTATAACAAAAGATCATTTTGGCTAGAACAGTTTTTCGTTTAATGAAAATTGAATGACTAGTTATAATATCGTTCATGGGTGTCGGTTATACTGTCACAGTATTTGTTTTAATATCTTGGACAAAAACAAATACCACATGATTACAAACTACATATATTGAAATACTACTGACTCATGGCGAGAATTTGTATATGTGTTGCATGTTGAAATATTATTGGTCAGTCAGAAGCTTCGCATAATAAAATACCAAATATTACTTAAACAAATGTGTACAGGTATCCTGATTACTTTGAAAAATTCTTTGAATCTAAAAAAACCAGAAATTTCTAGTAATATCAAAAAAAAGATCGCGTATTGAATTAAGCTCTAATTCTATTTAACGTTATAGTTCAAGATCCTCAGAAAGTTCCACCGTGTATTTTTCTATTTCTTTGCAAAAGTACTAAATATTTTCTCTAAAATTATCAATGAGTATTTAAATAATTAAATTTACTAATTTTATTTTAGAAACAAATAATATATTTGTTGCATGCAAGTATTAAAGAATAAATGAATTTCTAAATCTATATATTAAACGTGCAAAGCAAATTGAAGTGATTCCTCCAACTTGTTGCAAAGTTCTATTGGATTTATTTGGAAGCTTTAAAACAAAGCATGACAGATCAAAGTTTTTTATATATGTATATTATACATTATCCAAATAAACACATCAAATTTTTAATATATAATTGTACGTAATGAGATCATTTCAAATTTTGATGATCATATTGATCCAGAACATGAAAATAATTCATACTTTTTTAGAGGAGGGGTGAGCCATATGTGATGTTACATTTCTTATCCAATCAAAAAAAAATTATTGATGATAAATAATATTTGCGAATTCAAATTGTTCAATCTGCCTGCTTTGCTATTTATTTTAAGCAACATCCATTTTATTTCACACTTTTCCATCTGATATTTTTAAAATAATCTACTTTACTTGAAGATGAGAGCACAGAAAAATCATTAATAGCGTTGGCGTTTGTTTGATGTTTCTGATTGGTTCGTCTACCTCAGATACTAGCGCTAGGATGAGCAAATTTTTGTGTTTAGTAAGAAAAGCAATAGTTGGAAAGTATTTATTGCAAACCGAGCAAGAGTGTCAGGCATGAGCATCTTCAGAAAGAAAAGAAGATGAGAATCATATCGGATGGTTTAAGAGAATCGAAATATTCCAGTGTGTGTATAACATTTAAAAAATTCCCTTGATTAATGGAGGCATAAACCCATTATTTACGCTCAGTAGAACAGCAACTTCTTCAGTCCATTTGAAGAGCAACATGATAAATCATTACACTTTCGAATATCCAAAGAATATTGACAAATTACACAATGCTTCAATCCAGGACCATAGCACAGTTATTTCAATATATTCAGCAAATACGGGGTTTTCCATAGATAGGATCCCTTTGCCACAAATTAACAAGAGTTTGGTAGCATGATGAAAATGAGTTCGTAGTTCTATGATAACTTTTGCAAAAATCAACCATCATAAATAATCCATAGATGCTATAACATTTAGCAATTGATGACTTTCTTAATTGTTACTCGTTAAAATCAAAAGCTAACTAAGCAAACTCCAATTTCTACATAGAGTTCTTTCGGGGCTTAAGTCTAATTTGAAAAAATTGTATAAAGTCATTAATATTAATACTATAATTTGAATTACTCTTCGAAATGTGAATTCTTCGCACGAACAACAACAGCCAGTTCAAAGATTTAGAGAATGTGCAGTTTTTTTTCGACCGTCGATTTTTCCAAAACTTCATAAAATTCGAGCAAGAGCATCACTAACTTTTTATTCGATGTTCTAGACATTTTTTATAATATTCGAGTAATATACGTAAAGTGAAAGTAGCGATAACAAATACATGTATTCCGATAATTTTTATTTTCGGATTACGTTATCAAATCTTTGTATAATTCTGCACATGCATGCAATACTGCATGTCAATACATATACGTACATGTACTTGTTCGCTTTTACAGAACTAAAGAACCATACGTTAAAAAAGATCAACCATAATACGTATACATGTATTTCAAAAATAATAAAGTAATTTCACAACATTTATTTGAAGAAAAAAATGCCTTACAAATTTTTCCTCGGTGCTTTCAAGTCATTGATCTAACGAAAGAATTGCTCGTGAATAATAATGGTAGTTTGTGTTTTTGCTTAAACTTGATCTCATTCATGCGGTTATATTATAAATACAAGTACATGTATAATGATAATTTACCATCACACCAGATTCTACCCCAATAATTTTGACGTTATCAAACATCTTCATCTTGATTTCCTTCAACTTTTTCGTCTTCACTTTCACTTTCACCACTCATAATAATTTCTTTCTTCTGTTTCTGCAATTCCTTCACCAACCGATCATACTGATACGCATGCAACTCGCCACACCATTCACATCGACGCTCCAACAACATTTCCAAAAAGCTTTTCTCATCAACTATATCAGGTGCTGGATGCTCGGCCCACGACCAAATCTGTAGTCTGGCAGCACGCCAAATTTGCTGGGTACTCGTAGACTCGGTAGTGCACAAATAAGAATTAAATAGTCGACAGACTTTGGAAAGTCTAAATAAATCTCCAGCCGCAAGATTTGAGCAAATTATGATAAAGATTTCGGGCGGGAGTGTGATGATTGTTGCTATTGGGTCTGGCTTATTATTAACAAATGTAGTGGCGATTTCATTCAGTAATAATAATCCAGTATGTTGTTCTTCGGATGAAGTTTGTTGCTGTTTGCCATTTGATATTGTTGACTTAATATCTACCACATTTATATTTATATGAAAAGAGTTACGAGGAGGAGACGGGGGTGAATATGCAGGCGACGACAACGAATGAAGAGGAGCAGAAGAAATAACAAGTGTTTTCACTGATGCTCTTGATGTCAAACGGCGTCTTTTGGTTTTCACTGTTCTTTTATTTTTTGTTTCCATTTATTTTTATTGTAATTTATTTTTATTTTACTATTGTGTTAAATACATGTATAGTATAATAATGATAACGATAAGTTTATCGTAATCTAACTGCGTGAATTTTGATTTGATTGATCGATTTGACGATACCGATAAGTATCCAGTTTTTTTTTAACAAAATGCCCCCCTTAGTGTATTGATCCCCTAAAATGTTAAAATTGGTAAATTGTGTTACATTTACTACATGTATTACATGTAATATACAGCACTTGTACAATTTACGTATCATTTCCTAATGAGAATCTAGAATTTTATAACTACGTATAAAATTGACAAAAAAAAAGGTTATCATAACTAACTTTTATAAAGTTTTATTATCAAATCTACTTTAGCATTTAGTATGTTCACTTTTTACCAAAGATTTTCTATTGGGTTAAGGATTCAATTTCATTCTGTTCTTTCCATCCACGAGTTTTCTTACTAGTAAGAATTTTAGCATTATCATTCTGATAAATGAGAGTAATACACATTCAGTTTCTACGGCAGTGTTGAATTTCTTGAGATTGTCATTGAGAGTCTTATATGATCATAGAGTTCATGCGCTCTTTCTTACAAATCATTATTAATCTTAGTCTATCACCTACAAAGCAACACTAGATCATAACAGACTTACGTTCTCTTTTAAAGTAGATCATAAACAGCTTGAATTATATTGTTCACCAGCTAGCTTTTCTCCATACTAATTCGTGTCAAGAACCTTAATTCATTTCTATACTTGATTTATCAGATCATATTATATTACTCATTCTGGCATACCATTCCAATTAATATGTTCTTTACACTAATAAGTCATTTTTTTGATTTTCATCTGAAATAAATAGTTTTCTAACTGCACATAAGATTTAATACTAGCATCAAAAAGATAATTGCTAATGGTGGGTTTTAAAACTTTGAAACCAACATCAATTACTGTTTATGCAAAAAAAGCGTGTGTATTCTTTATTTTATATATAAGTAATTGTTTTAGTCATTTTGTAGTCGAAGTGGTCAACCAAAATGTGGTTTAAAGTTACTATTTTTTATCTTTTAATAAATGAACAAATAGTATTATTAAATAGTTTTATTTGTCTTACAATTTCTGTATTTTTAAAATTATTTTTTATGAGATAATAATACAAGAATATTATATTATTGATAAAAATAAATATTTCTATAAAAATATAATAAATTATATTTTTTATTTTAATTTAATATATAGTAATTAATAGTAATTAGATAATTTCAAAAAAATATAATTCAGATCATTTAAAAGTTTAACTTATAGTTTATTCGAATAATTGACAGTTATATCTAAATAAAAATATTTTTAATTAAATTTAAATTTAAAATACCTATGTAATTAATTGAATTATTGTAAATAAATACATATATAATATTTAATTTATAAATAATGATAATTAATATTATAAAAAATTTAATTTATATAGAATTTTATATATAATATAATTAGTTATTTAATAATTATTTTTAATTTTAATATATTATAGCCTGATATTTTATTATAAATAGTAATTTATTATAAATAAAATAATTAATTCAAGAATATTTTATAATTTTCTAAAAAAAATTTTAAAGTAATTCAATTAATTAATTTTAATATAATATTTTTTAAAATTTTAAAATTAAATTTTAAATAAAAATTAAAAAAATATATTTTCAAAATATTAACTAGTTTTTTTTAAAATTAGTTCTTTAAATTATAATAAAGTTATTAATTTATTATTTAATCTTTAATATAACAATTTTCTCTAAATATATTGTATTATATTATTAATCTTTATAATAAAATATTAAACTATATTAATAATTATTTTATTTATAATTTTTGTTATAATTATAACTATATAATATATATTTTATTAAAATAAATTAATTAATAAATTTTTGATCTATAAGTTAATTTATCTGGATAATTATAATTATAATCTAAATATTTAATTTATTTAAATTAAATTAATTATATTTAATTTAGTTCCTATTATTAAAATTAAAATTATTAGTAATAAATAAATAATTTATTAAAATTATAGTACATAATATTTAAAATTAAAAATGGGCTCATAAATTATTTTTGGAAAAATAATATTTCAGCAAATAATTTAGTTTTGCTATATTACTTATATTAATAAATACTTAAAATTCACTAGAAATGCTTGTTTTGATTTGTAAAATTCAAATAATTTCAGAAAACAATTTCAGCTACTAATAAAATAAGTCAAAATAATTTCAGATTTAATTTTAGCAAGTTAATTTTAGCAAATTATTTAATTAAATGATATTATTTCAGCAACTATTTTTATTTAAAATTATTAAATTTGTATTTATAAAATATATAAACTTTTTTACTAAGAAATAATACAAAATTTAATTTGTAAATATAATAAAATATACTCTTTTGAGTATATTTATAGATCAATTTTGTATTTATTTTTTAGTAAAGAAGTTTATATATTTTATAAAATATAAATATTTAATAATTTTAATATTATAAATTACAAAATATCAAAATTAAATTTTGTAATACTAGCTATTTTTTAAAATAAAATATTTTTTATATTAAATATTAATTTATAATCTGATTAATCAATTATTCTTTGTTATAAAATATTAAATATATAAATAAAATTTTTCATTTTAATATTACATTCAATTTATTAAATTAATTTATAAATTTTAATTAAAATTATAGTTAATCTTTTATATTTTGTAAGTTATTAATTAATTATTAATTCATTATTTATATAATAATTATAATAAAATTATAAATATTATATTATTATTATTTTGATTAACTTTTGAAATACTCAAAGATATTTATAAAGATTAAAGAAATATTCAAAGAGAATTTTCAATATCTTAATAATAATTCAAAGTATTAATAATACTTGATAACTATTAGACTGAATATAAATAATTACTAAAAATACTAATAATAAAATCACTAAAAATTAGTAACAATTATATTCTTTTTAAATACAATAATCTGAACTGCTAAAAAAGTTCTCAAAATCTCAAAGTCAAAGTTATAGAGATTATAATATTCATATTATCAGTAATACAATATTAAAGATGAATAATATATTATTAGTAATATAATATTAAAGATAAGTTTATGAGTAATGTATTATTAGCAATACAATTTCAAAGATAAATTTATAAATTATAATAATAATTTCTTTATTTATATAATACTTTGTTATTAAAAAAAATTTTGTTTTTAATATTCTAAAAAAATTTTCATAATTTTTGAATGATTTCTTATTAAAATATAAGCAAAAAATATATTTGTTATTATTTTTACTAGAAACTATAAATTACTTTGATAAATTGTGAAAAATTAAATAATTATTAATCAAAATATTTTTAAATCAAGTTTGATTAAATAAATAAAAACACATGATAATTGATTAGAAGTAATAATTAAATACTATTATTTTCAAATTCTTGTTTGAATTTAATTTTTATAATTTCTTTTATATGTTCAAAATATAACTTAGTTAATACACAAATTCATGTTTTAATTTTATTGATCCAATATTTGCTTATTCATTTCATGTGATTTAGATTCTTCCAATAAGATATAAGATATTTATAATCCAATAATATTTTGAGTATGAAATGTCCAATAAAATATTTGATAAAAGTTCATTATATAACAATATAAAGTTTGTACATTAATTAATTATTTAATTAATATTATATTAATGAACAAATATATTTGTAACAACTGTTATTTGTAATAATTGCATTTTAATTTGCAAATTAAGATCTAAGTTAGGGTTAGGATTGCGATTTTGGATCTGTGATTGGTTAATATTGAAGTTGTTACAAGTAGATTATTCCATAAATTCAATAATAAACTTGTTTACTAAAAGATAAAAACAAAATTTAATTTATAAATCTAATCAAGATCTATTCTGCTATATTCACATATTGAATTTTGTATTTATCTCTTAGTAAAAAGTTTATTGAATTATAAAATACAATCTATCGTTATTGATAAGTTTAAATACATATTAAACCTTGATATTATAACTAATTTCGCTCAAGGTTTCTAAACTTTGTAAAAAATCATTTGCATACGAAGTTATAGAATTCAACCTGGTGAAAATGGTTACAGCCAACTCTCGTTAAACCGATTATATTTAATGGGAGTTAACTACGTATTTTAATTAAATATATATAATATAGGTAAAATATGTGACTGTTAACCTATATTGTATTGATTTATTTAAAGATACCAAGTCGACTCGTTAAATAAAAAAAAATGGTCGGTTTAACTGTAATTGGTCATTGTATTAATAAAAAATTGTCAATTATTTTTGGTGTTATACATCTATACAGTATGTACGTACAGTCAACTCTCTCTATACCGAATTGAACGGTTCTAATAGTAAAAAATTTTCAAAAGTTCGTTATAGAGCAAATTACTATGTTTTTTATAACGAACTTATAATAAATTTTTACAAAAATGTTCGTTATAGAGAGTTGACTGTATAATGTGATTATATAGGAGTAAATTATACATGTACCTCGTTCCATTTTCCTTGCACACTCATTTAAGGTGTATCGATATCCGATTTTGTGTGATGCAACAAGCGATTCCGAAACACATGTACATGTATAATTGTCGGTCACATAGCTTGGCAAAAATATCATATTGTTCTTTAAGACTAACTTATTTTGTCGATTACATGTGCAGTAATTGGCATTTTGACCTTTATAAAATTTTAATGTTAAAAATTCGAAACAAATTTATTCACTTTGTTCTCTTAAATCCTTTCAATTCTATATCCACCAACCAATTCAAACTTTTATCACCCTTTAATAACTGCAAACTCGCCAAAGCCTCTCGCGTACCGAAATCTGTCTCACGCATCATAATCTCGTCTATCAAATACTTTCTACGCAACAACCGGCCTTTATTCTCTTTTACCCATTCGTGTCCATACACGAGAATTAATTGTCGGATTGATGGCATTCCGTGCAAACCGACATACCATTCATTGTATAATGCGTACACGCTAGAATGCACGCCAAGAGATGGCAGAATGTAATATGGTGTAGAAGGATCAGTCGATTTGTCTTGATCAATGTAACCTTCGCGTGGACGCTTTATCATATTTCGTGTGGTATTTTTTAGTAGTCCTCGCTTTTTTTTTACTGAAAGTGGCCCTGGTTTATATACTTTTTTCTTTGTTCTCTGAGATGAGTACGCTTGGGTTTTATTGGTTGTCGAAATGAGATTTGGTGGATTATTGTTATTATCACTAATTGACTCACTTCTACTATCATCATCGTCATCATCTTGGATTTCACCGGTAGATGATTGCTCGGAATGATTAGTCGAAATGACATTTTGACGATTATTATTAAGAGCCGCCAAACTCATGATAGCGAGATCGAATTCATTCGACTCATATAGACTCATAGTACTTTCAGTGTCATCGCTGGTTGGTTCAGTGCTGCATGTACTATCGTCATCTTGATTACTATAATAAAAATCTTTCTTATCTTCCTTCTCAACAGAATCATTATCTTTATTCGACATTTTTTGAGATTATTTCAACAAGAAGACTTCTCCAAAGTTATTATAACTTATTTATTGGTCTAAATCGATCTGTTGATCAGATGCTTGCTTGATATATTAGCGTTAGTATCCTAGCATATTATATTTGCTAACACACGAAGCCAAATCAAATCATTTATAAATTGCATTCTCCAAAGTTTTGTCTTAATTAGGAAGTAAAGTTAAAATCTAATCCGTTAGAATAATAAAATAGGCGTTTCTTGATTATTCTAACGGATTAAATTTTGAATGTACCTTCTGCAAAACTTTAAAACGAACAATTTATTGATGCTTGCACCATAAAATCTTTGAGTTTAATTATATTAAAATTGATTAATTTTACACATTCCCTCAAGATGACTCCTCTTTAATGGCTTTATGAAAACATTTTAGTTCTTGTATAAAATGCAAGAAAATGCATCCTTAGATAGTGTCATTGAAGATAAGTAATGTCAAACATGATTACCATTCTAAATTACCGTTTTTCGTCTAAAGCTGCAAAGAGCACATGTACAGTACCGGTACTGTACATGTATAAGTACGCATATCAGAAGTTATGCACATGTGATAAAATAATCATAAACATTATCATAAACGTTATCAATACATGTACATGTATATTAAAAGCGGGAATTAGGTGATGATCTACTTGCCATGTATGTATGTATGGGCTGTAATCAATTTTAATTTCTATATAGCGATAGGTCTGCCTAATCATACATTCACCCATTTCATTTATGCAAACATATAAAAACGGTACATAAACCCACATTCCCACCCTCGTTCTTGTACACAAAATGAGCGACACTCCACCTGAAATTCTTCAAGAAATTTTTCAGAAACTTGTCGGGAGAACCGACGACCTTTACTCTTTGTTGTTTGTAAATCGTCACTGGTGCGCAAACGTTATTGTGACATTATGGCGAAATCCATTCTACCAAGCCAAATATCAAAGAAAGGTAATTGATACCTATCTTTTGTGTTTGCCGAAGAAATCGTTACGACGACTTGGTTTGGAGCATATCATAAGAGATCAAAATCCGCTGTTTAATTATCCGGCGTATTTGAAGTCATTTTCGATTAAGGATATTTTTTTCGCAGTCGAAGATTGGCATGTTTCTGCATATTCGAGAATTTGGCAAAAATCAGGTAACTCTTGATTTTTATTAATCTTTTTAAAATTTGATATGTTCTCTTTTACTAACTCGTTCGAAAAAAAAAAATAGATAATGTACAAAGTACTCTGGATCTTTGGGTTCATGAATATCAAATAGTGACAGAGATATGCAATCTTATATCAAACGGATCCACTGCACTTGAATCTTTTTCAATTGACACTCTAGATTTAGAAATCGCAGAAATAATATCTGGATATGATCTCGAGTTATGGAAAGGGATTGAAAAACGCCATCACATAACTTTCGAATCAATTTCATTCAATAAAATCATTTATCCACGCGAATCCGATACCGAAAACTTGACCATAATACAAGACATAATCATGTCATTACTAAACAACTCCAAAAATTTATTGAAAAAAATACGAAAATTCGAGTGTGGAGGAAGTTTATTATTGGAAGCACCAAACTTGCTGGAAATAATTTCAAATGTTGCCACGAATATCGAAACTTTCATCGTGAGTGCCCCGAATGAAGACGAGCATTTAGAACCGGTGGAAGAGGATATTATTCAATTTATTCAAGTGCAAAATCGTTTGCGGAAACTTGAGTTTCGCGAATGGTGTTTTGAAACTTGTGATGTGGCAGAGAGCTTATCGATGCGACATGCAACACTAAGAGAATTAGAGTTTCACGAGTGTACATTTTTTAGAAATGACACATTAAAAGGGTTACAATTGTGTACTGGGCTAGAAAGTTTGAAATTCATTGACGTTGCCGGCGTGACATCAAATGTATTGGATACAATATCGAACACAATATTTCCAAACCTCAAACATTTGACATTCAGTCAACATTACACATGTATTGATGAGGATGAAGAATACCCATCAGTGCAACTCGCAGATATTATAGAAAACAATTCCAAATCTTTACAATCACTTTGCCTAGCACAAATACAATTTAAGTGGTACACCGAGGTACTACCAATGCTCGCACGATGCAAAAATCTACGAAAACTACAACTACAAATTGAGGAATACGAAGAATTTCTTGTCTTCTATGATGTATTGAAAGCATGTCAGAATTTACGCAGTCTCGAGTTACTCGGCGAATGTTTACCCAGAGAACAACAGTGGCCTCTTAGGGACGGCAATAATAAAGTGTTCGTGGAGATGGCACGATACGTTCCATCCAATTTGGAATATTTGCTCATTTCTTTGAGTTTTGTTTATTCGCCTACGGAACTTGCAACGTTTCTAGAATACTTAAAGCATATACCGCGACGTATTATTCTTGAAGTAGAGGAGAAATTCGCGCCGTGGTATCTTCAAACAATGATTAAGTGTGCGGATAATGTTGGTCGAAAAGTGGTGGATAGTCGGATTGAGGAGAGTCCTAGGTCAGCAAAACTCGAAAGGGTCTCTGTAAAGCTAGATAACAGAAATTAATGTACAAATTTTTTTTAATGTAGATAGTTATAGACTCGAAAAGCTTGCTAAATTTAGTTTTCTCATATACGTACTGGTACACGTATTTTGCAATGGGGGGAATGAACAATCTAAATAGACATCGTGTAACATTTATATACTGTACTATCGTTATCGATAAAAATAATAAATGAAATGGCTTTTTGTGTTCAAAAACAAACGTAAATGTTTGTTTTTCTCATTTGTTTTTATCGGATCTGAAAATCAAAACTAAACCTCTACGTGCTCATTTGGCCTTTCTGATCATATATTTGGACCAATCAAAACAAAAAAAATCATTTTTATAGTGGTGCAAATTGAACTGCATTCGATACCATTCGCATTTAGTAACACCATTTGCAAATTTATTAGCGGTCTAACATATGACTTTCTTGGCATTTATTGCTCTTGTGCGCATACAGCTATTATTTAATTTTAGTTGTCAAAAATGTGGTGTTTTTGTATTTTTCCCTAAAGGAGTTAATGATTCAACTTCGGTTTTTATAAAATTTAAAAAATCTGATAATACAAAATTTTCACGATGTCAAATCAACAGTATAAATTATAATCTCGGCAAAGAAAATGATAGAATTTATTTTTGTATTTGCTCACATTGCAATCAAGTTCAGAAGTAATTTTTTTGGTGTATAGTCTGTTCTTATGATTTCAAAACAGGCACTTTTGACGAGTTGATCGAAAAACATCCAACAGGGAACCAACCACTTTGGGTATTGCAAAGTTTGAACGAGTCCAAATTTAAGTTGGGATTGGTAGACCAACTTCGCTATAGAATTGCAAAGATGATAAGATTACAGAATTTATTCGAGAAACACAAAGAAAAGCGAACAAACATCTCAATTATATAGAATGGGTAGAATTTGGTTTGATTAAGAATATGGTGTATATATCGATATACGGCAGAATTAATCGACGTGGCGTTTTCATGCAGGATGTAAAACAGCATTAAAAGCTTTGAAAACATTCACATCAAAAGAATTTTTAAGCGAGGTAAAGATATTTAGTTTCCATTTTCTATTAATTTACATAGTTTTCTTTTTGTTATCACTTAATCTGTATTCCAGACAAATTTGCCTGGAATTTTAAATTTTTTATTATATCACCTGCTAATATTTCTTTTTCAATTATATTTGTTGATTACTTGATAATTGCTTTTTCATTGTTAATGATATCAATATATCACATTTTATAGAATATTCTTAGTTTATAAATATTTTACATTTTATATATTAATTATAATATATTATCCATTTAATTTCTTAATATACCTCGATTTAAAAATAAAAATTACTGATTTTTATTCAGAAATAATTCAGAAATTTAATGAGATATATCAGTCAATAAATAGAAAACAGAATATGAAATATTTCAGAACATTTTATATTATTAATAAAGTGGGTTTAAATAAAAATTATCAAATTTCTTCAATAAATCAGAAAACAATGAAATATACTATTAATAAATAAATTATATTACTGATTTTCTTAGAAATCGATTAGAAAATATAACTAAATATACTGGTTAATAAATTAAAATTACTGATTTTCTTTAGGAATAAATCAGAAAATATAATAAAATGCACTAATTAATAAATTATTAAATTAAAATTATAAAATTTACCAATTTTCTTTAGAAAATATAATATATAATAAATATATAGTGACAATCAGAAATAATACAATAATATCAAAATTTATTGATTAAACATAGTAAAATGCAGATTTTTCTCTTTATATAAAAGTTTTCAAGTTTATTAATAAATATTTTTTATTTTTACATTAAAATAAAGATAATATCACATATTATAACATATATTTTTTTCAGATTCTTTAGATTTAATCTGATAAAACTGTTCTAATTACATATAATGTCAATTATTTTTTTATATGTTTTAATTATAAAAAATAATTAACTTTATATGCAATTGGAATAACTATCAAATTAATTCTAAAAAATCTGAAAAAATATATGTTAAAATATTTGATATTATCTTTATTTTAATATAAAAATAAAAAATATTTATTAATAAACTTGAAAACTTTTATATAAAGAGAAAAATTCATATTCTTTAAACTATTAGATTTAATAGACAAATTTACTTGCTAAAAATTCTATAAATTTATATTTAATATATTTTTACTAAAAATTAAAATATGTTAAAAAAGTTTTTTAATTTATCTTTAATTATATATTATATAATAGTTATTTTCACTTTTTTTAATAATTACAAAAAATTATAATTAAAAATAAGCAAATTAAATAATTTTTATTCTTAATTTTAAATTTTAAAAATATTTTATAATAAAATTACAAAATTAATTAAAATTCAATCAAATATTATAAGCAATTTTAAATTAAAATTACAAATTTTATATTATATTAATTAAAAATAATACAAAATCAATATAAAATCATTATAAAATAAAACAAAATAATTATCAAAGCTAAAATATACTAAAAAATTATTTATTTTTGACTTATTATATATTAAAAAAAGTTTATTTAGTTTAAACTTATTAATATAAAATGAAAAATTATTTCTATTTATATATTATATAATTAAAAGTAATTATATAGTATTTGTACTATATAATATAATATAATAAAAATAAATAGTTTTATAATATTACAAATATAAAAAGATAGATAATAACAGAACAAAAATAAAAATAATAAAAATAATAACAAAAATAAAAATAATAAAACAAAAATCAAATAATAAAGTAAAAATAATAAAACAAAAATGATAAAGTAAAAATAATAATAAAATAATAATAGATAAAAATAAAAAAAGTACAAAATAAATTAAAAGAGTATTTTATATTAATAATTAATAATAAATATATATATAAATATATAAATAATTAAATAAATAATTAATAATTAAAATAAATTTTTTCAGTTTATTATTTTTTTTATTTTTAAAAATTTATATTATTTATTATTTTTGAAAGATTAATTAATTATTAAATTAAAAAATATTAATATAATAATATTATATTAAAAGTATTAAAATAGTAAAATATATATTTTGCAATATAATTATAACTATAAAATTTGTAATCAAATTTTTTTTAATTATATTATGTATTACAAATTGTAAAAAAGTTTGATTATTTATAAATTATATATATAATAAATAATAAATATAATTTTTAATTCAAATAATTATATTATTAGTTAAAATTTATCAATATTATTTAATAAAAATTAAAAATTTATATTATTTTTAATAATTAATTAATAAGCTCAAATAAGTAAAGTAGTTTATAATTAAACTTCTTTAAAAATTATAAAATTAATAAAATTTGTTTTAGTAAAAATCAAGTTAGTATTTTATTTAAATTTATATATTATTTGAATTTTGATTTTATTACTATATATAATATAATTTAAAATTTATATAAAAAATTATAAGCTAAATATTTTTATATATAAAATTTATTGAATATTTTAATTTTATTAAAATTGATTTTATTTAATATTAATTAATAATAAAATTAAAAAAAATTTGATATTACTTAAAATTTAAATATATTTTATAATATAAAAAATATTTAATTATAAAAAAAATAAGTTATTAAGTAAAAAAATTCTATAAAAATATATAAAAATATTTGATAATAAAAAATTAAATTTCAATAGTTTTATAAATATAATTAATATATTAAATTATTAAATAAATAATATTATTTTGTAATATATTATATTACTAGTAATATATATAAATTTAATTTATTAAATATAAATAAAATTTTTATTTTGAAAAAGCTTTAATTTTATTAACAAATATTTTTTAAAATAAAATTTATAAGTTATATTTTAATATATATTTTTTTGAATTTTATTTAACGAATTTATTCTAATAACAAAGTGCTTGCAAAAATTTTTTATATTATAATTAAAATAATTATTAAATAAATCCACAAAAATATATATTTAAATATAAAAATAAAAATATTTATTAATAAAATTAAAACTTTTAATTTTATTATATTTTATTAATAAAAGTATATATATTATTTTATAATTTTATTAGTTATTATATATTAATTAAAAATTATAAAATTATATATTTGGTTTTATTAATAAATCTTAGCAAAAATTAAAATATTTGTCTTATATAAAAGTTTTTAATTTTATTAATAAATATTTTTTATTTTTATATTAACCAAAAATATAAGTTATATATAATTTATAGTTCTAGTAAAAAGTAATAATAGAACATATTTTTGTATATATTTCGAAAGAATTTATCCAAAAGTCATGAAAATTTATATAAATATTTTTTAGAATACTAGAAATAAGATTTGAGAATATTATAAAGCATATTAATATAATAATATTTTGTATTATTTAGTATCAAAGTTGGTAAACTGGAGACTACTTTTGAATATCTCTTATTAAGTAGATTAAAAATATTATTTTCAATAAGCAAGCATAAAAATATTTTTGTAAAAATATATTTGAAGATATAAAAAATATATTTGCAAATTTTAAAAAATTTTTAGTTCATATTTATTGAATAAATAACAGCTAAAAAAAGACTTAATTTTGATAATTTTCTTAATAAATCATAGTAAAAATTATTATTTACTATAATTTATTAATAAAATCATCAAAAGTAAGTATTTTTTTAAATATTATTTATTTAATAAGTATAAACTAAAAATTTTAAAATTTGCAACTATATTTTCTATATCTTCAAATATATTTTTACAAAAATATTTTTATATTTACTTATTGAAGTATTTTGAAATAATATTTTTAATTTACTTAATGAAAATATTTACAAAATAGTTCCCAGTGCACCAATTTTAATATCAAATAATATAAATATTACTATATTAATATGTTTAATATCCTTAGCAAATCTTGTTTTTAGCATACTAAAAATTTTTTTGCAAATTTTTATAACTTTTAAATAAATTCTCACCAATATTTACAAAAAATATGAAAAATTA